CTCCTCTCCTCTCCTCTCCTCTCCTCTCCTTTCTCTCCTCTCCTCTCCCTCTCCTCCTCTCCACTTCCTCCTCTCTTCCACTCTCCTCTCCTCTCCTCTCCTCTCTTTTCTACTTCCCTCCCCGCTCCTAACGTCCCGCCAGGTTTCCATCCTAAGGCAGGAGCTTGTGGAGACGCACCATCAGCTCACCATGGCACTGGAGCTGCTGGGAGCGAGGGAGGAGGAGCTGGACGATCTCAAGGAGACCATGGCGGAGCAGAAAGAGGTGTTCCGAATGCAGCTAGAGGCAGCGATAGGAGGCAGGCAGGAGGGACAATAAAGACATGTAAGCAGCAGCTGCTGTTTGTCGTCTTGCCCGAGGAGCTTCTCGCAATGGTTTTATTGGTTCTTTAAGCCAGGAGCTCGTAGGGCACAGCGCACATGGTGTGGACGGGCTGCTTCTTGGCCTTAACGATGTAGCCGGGCTTGGGGTCCTTGGGAAGGCGCTTGAGGATTTCGATCCTCTCTGGCGGACACGAATGAGTCACAACTGGAGCAGCATGTGGAAGGGGAAGGGGGCAGGCGAGGAGGGGTAAGGTAGGAGGAGGGGGGGACGAGAGAAAGAGGGGAAGGTAGAGGCGCGAGGGAGAAGGGAGAGAGAGCATCAAGAGCGGGGAGAGCAGAGAGACAATAGAGGAGGGGAAGAGAGGCAGGAGGGGAAGCAGAACTCTCAAGGCAGGGCTAGGCAACGAGGATGAGAGGAGAGCAGAGCTCGTAACTCACTTCCTGCTCTCTTGGCCTTGGCCTTGACCTCCTCGTTGTGCTTCACACGGGCCTTGAACTCATCCTGGCACTTGGAGGGCTTCACGTGCTCGATACGAACGTGGATGCGCTTGCTGAGAACACGTCCCTTGACCTGCTTGTTCACCATGACGCCGAGCGCTCTCTTGGTCACGTTCCACACGCGGCCAGTGCGGCCATGGTAGTAGCGGTAGGGCATACCCTTGTGGATAGCTCCGTTCACCTTGATGTCGACAAAGTCGCCAAGCTTGTAGGTGGTGAGGTAGGTCGACATCGACGGCAGACCCTTCTCTCCAAAGGCCTTCTGGAACATGTCGCGCGTGTTGCGCCTAACTCCCCTTGCCTTTCCGCACCCCATCCTGCAGAAGAATGTGAGCGTGAATGTGAGCGAGGAATGAAGCATGCGTGTATTTGCTCTATGTACATCTGCCGCGGCATCGATATACTGCCTCATAATGTCGCCACATACTTAAAGTCCACATAATGTCGCCAACATGCTCTATATACACTTCGCGATAGATAGCTTTCGATTCTAAAGACAATCATGTCTTGAATACATAGATAACCAAGTCAGACTGACCCTGATACACCTTTCATACTGCACGTAGACTACCATTACATATTCACTCTGCTCCTTTCAACCACTCAGAACTCAGATCTTTTCCTCACAAGACTTCATGAATTCTAAACAGCTGTCTTTGCACTCTCAGAAACAAAGGAAAAGAAAAAACAAGATGAGCATGCAAGAACAGCAGCACATTGACTGACGTCTCATCGTACATCCCAAGGTCAACATTTCGGCAAGATAGTGGCTGTTCGGCTTCAAGGTAGGTGAAGGAGAGAAAGATGCTCACAACAGATAGGGGAAACAGATGGAGGAAGGAAGAGCAGGACGAAGGAGCGAGAGGATCATGGCAGCGACCATCACTGGGACAGCATGAGCAGCGACCACCCGCAGCAGCGCGTGCATGAGACGGTCGGTGGAGCCCTCGTGCTGCTATTTTTTTTTATCTTTGAAAAAAGAAGGCGAATCACAGGGATTATCCGAGTAAATCACAGAGATTAAATTGATCCACCCCCACCGGTAAGCAAAGCAGAATTTTGCTTCACAATGACCGGGGTACATAAGTAAACCCAACATGGTGGTGGGGTCTGGAACAAATATTAGGGGGTATTTCGGAGTAATTTATTGGGTAGGGGTAGTATTCTATTGGTGTGGGATACGGTAGGGTAGTCCTCGTTGAATTGTAACGTATAGTAACGGTTTTACCGGCAACGGCAGTCGTAGCCTTGCCTACTGAGGAGTTACTGGCGATGTGCCCCCGACAAAAATGCGGGGGAGGAGCAAAAGAGGGAGCAGGAGCAGGAGCAGGAGCAGCAGGAGCAGCAGGAGCAGCAGGAGCAGCAGGAGCAGCAGGAGCAGCAGGCGGCAGCAGGAGCAGGAGCAGGCTGAGGGGCAGCCTCGGAGCGGCAGGAGTACCGGGAGAAGGAGAAGCAGGAGCAGGAGCGGGAGGAGCAGCGGCAGGAGCAGCCTGAGGGCACTCGCGGAAGCAGGAGGAGCAGGAGCAGGAGCAGGCTGAAGAGCAGGAGCAGGAGCAGGGGCAGGAGCAGGGGCAGTAGGAGCAAGAATAGGAGCAGGGAGCAGGGAGCAGGGGAAGCAGGAGTAGAAGTTTGAAGAGATAAGAAGTGACTAGTCACTGATTTGAGTCAAGAGACGAGGGTGAGGGCAAGACTGATGAATGGCAAAGAGTGCACTTGAGCTATGGGCACGATCGGGTTGGAGATCAAAAGGAAATTGAAAGGAGGGAGAGGAAGAGAGCGTTCTGATGTGATGCTCTTGGTGTGGTCACAGGTGAAAGGTGGGGACGGAAGTCTCTCAGCGGGTGAAGAAGAGAGAGGCAGGCAGGCAGGCAGGCAGGCCGGCCGGCAGGCAGGCAGGCAGGCAGGCAGGCAGGCAGGCAGGCAGGCAGGCAGGCAGGCAGGCAGGCAGGCAGGCAGGCAGGCAGGCAGGCAGGCAGGCAGGCAGGGAGTCAAAGTAACAATTGGTCGATGAGAGGATGGAGCTAGCGGAGTTACTTGTCTTGCTAGGAGAGTCACGCATCTAACTTGCTGTCTGACTTGAGCTCTTTGATTTGCAGTCGCTGCCATGTCAGGCGTTGTCTACAACTACATCGGAGGCCCGGTCATGGTGAGCTTCACCCAGTCGGCGCCACATCCCTCTCAGACCCCATTCCCTCCTCCTACGACCTCAGCCATGCCGCAGCGCCTGGTGTACAACAACTCTGACCTGGTTCAGCTGAACCATCCTGCTACTTCTGCTTCTTACGCAAACTACTACTCCTCCCCCCTCGAGCTCGCGCCCTCTCGTGTCCCTACCTCCATCAACCAGGAAGGGACTGTCAAGGCAGCGGTGACGAGGACAGCAGTCAACAACAAGCAGGAGGCGCCCTCATATCTCCGATATAGGAAGAGCCTGCCCTCCAGAGAGGTACTGGGACGTGAAAGAGCTGAGTGGGCTGATATCCCGTCGCAGTCCATCACCTCAATATCCAAGACCGACAAGACTAACTCGATCGTGATTGAGGTGGGGAGAAGGAAAAGAGGGAAGGGAGGGGAGGGAGGGGAGGAAGGTGGAAGAGGAGGTGTTAGTAGTGGAGGAGGAAGCCGTTGTGGATTCGTGCTGACTTGGCTGGAAGGACGAGAAAGGACTGAAGCTGAGGCTCACGCAGAGCGTCGAGAAGTTTGTGTTAGCTCAATTGATCGATCGAGATGACGTTGATACCCTCATGATGGAGGACCAAGGTCCTGACTGACTTCACTGGCTCAGGGCAAGACTTTTGTGCTGCACTCTCTGAATGAAAGAGAAATGGTAGCTGAAGTGAGACCTGAAGCCTCCTCCCAGTCGCATTAACTCACTCGGCTCCTCTGACAGGGAATAGACAGTCTGATCCAGGGCTTGAAAAGATTGGCTTCCAGCTCCTGCCTCCTCCAGCTCTGGGATGGGTCGAGCAAGAGGCGGGTCGAGCTCAGATTTCCCCTCAAGATCTTCGCGCAGACAGAAGACCCTGACACATCCATCGGCAGCCTCCTCGTGTTTCAATCGCTCCCTGCTGAAGTTGGCTGCAGATACGGACAACGTGGCCTCGGAAGCTTTCCAGAAAGTTGTCGTCAAGGTTGAGCATCGCTCGAGTCCTCCCTCAAGGCTTCTGACTTCTCCTGTCAGTCCGCGTTCACCTCGCCCATGGACTCAGAGGTCTTTAGGGAGGGCGACGTCTTGGAAGTGATAGACAAGGCCAAGTTTGAAGGAACGCAGACAAGCTTGACTGTTGCTCTCGTGACATCTACCTCAGGTTGGTACTATGTCAGGAAGGAAAGCATGAAGAACGAGGCCAACGCCGTCCGCCTCTGCCCCTCCTACATCTTCGACTTGTCGGAGTTTGAGATCAGCAAACTGTTCTGCAAGACTTCGTCGGAACCCTTCATGGTGCCTCTCCTCTTGTCCCGCTCACAGCAAGTCAAGTGAGTCATGAGCTCAGATCCTACAAGGAAGAAGCGATGCCGAGATGGGCGACACAGGCTCCTCCTTTGGTCTGCTCCCCAATCACCACCACCATCTCCTCCTCCTCCTCCTCCTCCTCCTCCATCACTACTACCATGTCAACCTTGCCCTCCTACCTCCTCCCTCCCCTTTCCTCCTACGAACTTATTCTCTATGTTTGCCAGATGCTTCCAACGCTCACTTCCCTTCCCCCTTCCTCCCTCAGTCTAGCTCCTCCATGCCGCCTGCCCTCAAGCTCGCGCCCGGATGTCTTGCCTACCGCGAGAGCGACAGAAGGGAGGATCTGATCCTCGACGGGGTGCTTGAAGGGGAAGGAGGAGTTCTCAGCATCAACTGCTGAGTCAAGCGCCATGCTCATCGTCTCCTGCTCCTGCTCCTGCTCCTGCTCTCCCCTCCTCTCCTCACATCCTCTCTCTGACTACTCCTCTCATATGATCGACGCCCAACTCCCGTAATCATAAATGTGCATATGTCTTAAGTTGTATGAAACCCGATGAAACATCAAGATGCGAGACAGCTGGTGCAGGTGCAAGTGAGGACGGGGAGGCAGAGGACTGCAATGTATCTGTATTCCAGATGGGGATGCGGCAGAAGACAAGAATAACAAGAAGAGCAGGTATCTCACAGCCCTTTGTTGTAGTAGAACGACTTGACGGACGGCATGAGCTCCTTCACCTTGGCCTGCAGCTCAGGCTCTAGAGCTTCCAACTTGATTTCAGCTTGTTGAGGAAAGATGGCACAGCACAGCGGAGTTGAGAAGGTGAGTGCAAACCTGCAAGGGAACGATGAGCAATGCTGTCCAGAGAGCAGAACACAGAGGAGAAGGAGGAGGAGGAGGAGGAGGAGGAGGAGGAGGAGGAGAGGAAGCAGAATGAGCATGAGCATGAAGAGCAGCACGAGCAGCAGCATGACACGCTCGTACCCGGTGACTAGGATGGTAACAGGGGCAGTAAGGAAGGGGAAGCGAGTAAGGAGCCCTCGCTTCTCGAGGAACGCCATGACGACGGGGGTCAGACCCATGGAAGGAACCGCCATTAGGACCCTGGAGGGGATCACCTGCATGCAGCATGAGATAACTGAACGTCGGCACAACCTCGGCACACGAAGGGGGGAGCGGATCAAGGAAGGAACAAGCGCACTGGGTTTCATACCTGGCTGACGGCAGCCACAGCAGCATTCTTGCTCTTGCCCAGCTCGTTGCCATCCTTGTCTGCCACCATGATCCCTTCCTTCAGCTCAACTTGTCTCATCAGAGGGATGTTGACGCAGTTGGCACTGGCCACAGCGATGAGCGGGACAAATCGTCCAATAATCCCCTTGCTCAACGTCGGGCTCCTGGCGATCATCTTGTTCAACCCCACCGCCACGACGCAGGAAGACCCAGTGGCGAGGAAGTAAGCCTGCGCCAGCATTTCGTTGGTGATGTTGGAGGAGGCGTTGCGGTTGGTGTAGTTGACGATGGCGTTGAACGACTGGTTCGCCCACTGCAGCAGGATCTGAGCTGGGTTGGAACGGTACCACACCATCATGGCGCCGGTGATAAGCATGTTGCCAGGGACCTGGCACGACATCCTGCCGGCAAAGAAGTTCTTCTCGCCTGTCTGCGGGTGAAACGCTGAGTCGTAGAGCTTCTTCGCATGCCAAACTTGCTCCTCAGTGGTCCCGGCAGGCTCCTTCTTCTCCCTGTAGAGGTCGAGGAGGTTCTTTGCAGCGTCAAGCTCTGCGATGAGATGTGTCAGTCAAGACAGACAACTGCGATCAGGAGCTGAAGATGCAGTCGCAGCCCTCCACCACACTGACGCTCGAGATGGAGGGTGGAGGAGAACGTGTGTAAGGATCCCAGAGGGAGCAGAAAGGACGGGTACACGGGACGAAGAGGATACTGACCAGCATTGGACGCCAGAATCGTTCTGGGGTCGGTGACTTCGAAGTAATGCTGTGCTCTTCCCCAGTAAGTCGACTGGTCGTATCTTGGCTTGTCAAGATCGATTCGACCTGCGCGGATTTCTGGTCAGTCGGAGCATTCCCCTGGTACATGGCAGGAGCACGAGGACGTGGGAGAGCACAAGGAGAAGACAACACAGCATGCAGAAGAATGTGCACAGAGTGGGGGCAGATAGTGGCGCTTATACGAGCTTCCTCCACCCCCTCGCCGCAAACTACTAATCCGTATCCCTCCTATCGCAATCCTAGGTTTCGACTCTCATATCGCACAGAAGACAACCACAGAGGCGGAGCAAGGAGATCCATCTCTTCCTGCTCAGCATCTTGTTCTCTTCCTCGCCCTTCCTCCCTCCCCTCCCTCTCATCCTCCTCCTCTCCATCGCCTCAGACTCTGACGTAGGCGCACCTGCCATGCTCCGCTCTTCCTGTCACGTTGGCGTCCTTTCACCCTACCTCTTACCTGGCCTACCCCCGCTTAAAATAAGCACCCCACTTTGATAGCGATTAGAAGACTCTAAAGTACCGGTATTTTACATCTTTACTGCTTCACTACCCTTCCCAATGTCCACCCACCCGCTGAGATTGTATTCCCCTAAGCCAACTTGAGGGGTGGGGGGCCATGTCTAATACTAGAAGCCAACCGGTTGTACCAAAACTTTAAGGATATATTTTTAAAAAAGTACCAGAAGGTTGTCTAAAATGACATATTGAACTTGTAAACACCTAGCATCTGTTTTTAAAACAAGTATCGATCACAATCGGTAGTTATAATAATTATTTATAAAATTTGGAAAACATTTATAAATAATATTCCATAAACAAGAATCTAACATATCTTGATAGTTTCAAAACAACAAAAAGAATTTGTTCGATGTATTGAAATATACAAGCTTCGTTTTAAGACCAACCATTGATAGATTTGATCTCAGTAGATTCAGTACCAGAGGGAATACAGCTCAATACCGCACTAAACATATATCTAATATTAAATACAGGAGAGGTAGCAATCCATCCCTGCTAATCTGTAGTTGTCTGGTTGTTGGCTTGTGTTCTAAAAATAAGTTGTAAATTTGTACTGATTTCGTTATAATTGGGTTGTAAAAATGATTTCTTTGTGCCTTTTAAAATCATCATTCATATATCATGTCATATATTGACTAATTGTTTTTGTCACCGTCTGTGACGGCGGAACTTCGGAGTCCCGGCCCGGCCCTGAGTGCCACAGTGACTCGCGGGGCCGCGCCGGCTCCCGGCCCGGCCGGGGCGGCAATGGCATCGCCAAGTTGCCCAGACCCCGGGAGTCACATCATGTGACAGTGTGGCAAATTGAGCCTGGGCCGCGGAGGCCGGGCGACTCGGCGGCCATCGGCCTGATCGGCCGGCGACCCGGCTCGGCCTCCGACTCCGACAAACCCGGGCCCGGCAGTGACGCGCACTACGGTCACTGGCAAGCGGCCTAAAAATCTTCGGCCCAAGTTTCATCCGATTGGAAGTCCAGCCAGCGCCGGCAGACTCAGCCAGTGACTCGCGGCCCGACCCGCCGAGCCCGGGGCCGACGAGGCTGGGTCTGAGTGGAGATGAGGGGGCCAGGAGATGATTCTTGACTTTGACTAGTGCACATCAATGGCGACCATTGGGATGAAGAGAAGAGAAGAGAAGAGAAGAGAAGATGAGATGAGATGAGATGAGATGAGATGAGATGAGATGAGATGAGATGGGATGGGATGGGAAGAGATGAGATGAGAGGAGAGGAGAGGAGAGGAGATGAGATGAGATGAGATGAGATGAGATGAGATGGGAAGAGATCTGATGAGATGAGATAAGATGAGATAGGAAGAGAAGAGAAGAGAAGAGAAGAGATGAGATGAGATAGGAAGAGAAGAGATGAGATGAGATAAGATGAGACGAAAAGAGAAGACAAGAGATAGGAACAGAAGAGAAGAGGAGAGGAGAAGAGAAGAGATTGGACGAGAAGAGAAGAGAAGAGAAGAGACGAGACGAGACGAGACGAGACGAGAAGAGACGAGAAGAGACGAGAAGAGGAGAGGAGAGGAGAGAAGAGAAGAGAAGAGCCTGAAAGACGAAGCAGAGAAGAGGAGGAGAGAAGAGGAGAGTGGAGAAGGGAAGAAGAAAAGACGAAGTGAAGAGAGAAAGAGGCAACTAGTAGAGGAGGGATGAGCAGCATTAAATCTCCTGATTTCAGTACTCTCAGCAGAGTGTTGACTGGTAGACGCGCTCATGGTTGTGGTTGGTTGCAGGTATGAAGAAGGAAGAGGATTGAAGCCATGAGAGGTCTTGCGGTCCTCGCATACGCGTCGCTCCTTCAGCTTGCATGGCTCGTGCTCCTGGCGCAAGGGTTGAGCTGCCCAGCAGGCAGCGAACCCCTCCTCTCCTCGGAGTTGGTGCAGCTAGTCAAAGAGTGCAACCTGACGTCGCAGTCACCCTGCTCTCTGCATTTCCCAGCTCTGACCTTGTCCGACACCTCCGAGCTCAACGTCTCCATCTACATTTCCCCGCATAACGCCAGTGGTTACTTCCTCGCTGCCTCCTTTTCCATGTTCGCCTTCACCGAGAAGCTGTCTCGCGACTACCTCGGGAGCAACTGCACTGAGTTTGACGTCTACACGTGGATCACCAAGACTTCTGACATTGCGCCCAACTCAGAGTTGAGCATAAGGATCAACGGGTCGAGCAGCAACACAAGCTCCTGCCCCTCCCTCCTTGCACGAGTTCAAGTCAGCTACACGCCTGCCTGCCGCCCCTGCGCCCAAGGGAGCTATGCCGGCGTGAATTCCTCATCCTGCGAAGCTTGTCCTGCCCTATCTACCTCCCCCGGCGGCAGTATTGCGCTAGACAACTGTACCTGCCAGGCAGGATACACGGGCAAAAACATCAGCGACTGCCAGGGTTGCCCGGCAGGACAGTTCAAGGGCTTGATGGGCTTCCAGGCCTGTGATGACTGCCCCGTGGGAACCTACTCGCAGCTGGAGGGCAGCTCGGCGTGTACCAACTGCCCGATGGGGATGACGTCGGTGGGAGGCACCAGCAGCTGCATCTGTGCTGGGGGTTACGTGTTTGAAGCTGCCTTCCGATGCTTTCCTTGTCCAGCAGGCTCGTTCAAGAACGCGACGGGCAATGGAACGTGCTCGGTCTGCGGGGACGGCACTTATGCCTCCAGCAACGGGACGGTCGTCTGTCTCTCCTGCCCCAAGGGATCGTACCGAGAGAAACCCCCCCAACTACACGGAGACGGACGCAGTGAACTGTCAGGACTGCTTCCCACACAGCTCGACGGCTGCAATGGGGAGCTTAACGATCGACTCTTGCAAGTGTGTGCCAGGGTACAAGCAGGACGGGTACTCCTGCTCAGCTTGTCCTGCCCTCACCTTCACCTCTCAGCCTGGCATGACGACCTGTGCGCCGTGTGACCCCGGTTACTTCTCTCACATTGCGAGCTCGGAGTGCACGGCCGACGTGGTGGACGTGCTGGTGGAAGTCTTCGTCTCGGGGGACGTGGACGCCTTCACGCTCGACCTCCAGAGCAACCTGACGCAGGTTCTCTCCTCCCTGTTCCTCCTCCCCCTCGACCTCGTTTACTTCGTCTCCTCGGCGCTGGTGGGGGGAACTCAGTCCAACAACCTGGTCGAGCAGGGCAACGTCACAGTCTCCAACGCCTCCAACGCCACTGAATTGTCAAACTCGACCAACTCATCCAACACCACAGATTCCTTCAACTCCTCCGATATATTGTCCACCCCTCCCTCCACAACCCCCTTGCCCTCTTCCTCCTCCTCTCCCGTCGTCAAGGCCACCTGGAGGGTCATGGCAGCACGCAGCTTCTTCGCATCGTTACTCCAGACCTTCGACCGCCAGCAGTTCCTGCGCGACTTCAACGCGTCTCATGTCCTCAACATCGTCTTCACCGAGCGGTGTGGAGCAGGCAGGCAGAGGAATGCGACGGGCAGCTGCGAAGCTTGTCCTGTCGGCACCTTCAAGAACGCCTCCGACGACTCCCAGTGCTTTCCTTGCCGGTCTAACGCGAGCACAGCAGGAGAGGGGGTCATACTAAGCACAGACTGCCTGTGCCTCCCCGGGTACAAGTTCGTGAGTTTCGACTCTCCCTGCGAGCCTTGCAGTCCGGGCTCCTACTCCAACACCCTTGCCAACCAGGATTGCCAGCTCTGTGCTGCCAACACCTACAACAGCAAGCTGGCGTCTACCTCCTGCACCGCCTGCCCTCCGAGGTCTGTGTCAGGGGAGGGAAGCCCTTCCATCTCCTCCTGCCTCTGTGTTCCTGGTTACCGTCCGGACTCGACAGCAAGCTCCTTCTCCTGCAGGATGTGCCCCGTCAACACGTACAAGAACTTCACGGGCAACACAGAGTGCGTGTCCTGCCCGCCGCACTCCGTCTCTTCCATGCGCACTGTCGACATCAAGTACTGCCGGTGTGACTTCGGGTATACAGGGCCCAACACCAACTGCACCCCCTGCCCTGCAGGTACAAGGACCCCTCTTGCGTGCTCAGATGAGAAATAATCTCCTCCCTACCTTACGCTCTTGTCCTTTCACTCGTACTTCTCCATCCTCCTCATCGTCAGATTCCAAACCCTCACGGCCTCGTGTGCAGGAACTTACAAGGAGTATCCGGGGCCATACCGATGTGAGATCCTCTTTCCGAATACTCCTCATCCAGCACCTCCTCCCTCCCTCCCTCCCTCCCTCTCCTCCTTCCCTCCCTTCCCTTCCCTTCCATCCCTCCACTCCCTCCCCCTTCCCTCCCTCCTCCCTCCCTCTGCCTCTCATTCTCTGCCTCCCTCTCCTTTTCTCCTCCTCACTTTTCCTCCTCCTTTTTCTCACCTCTCCTCCCACCTTCTCTCCTTCCCTCCTGACAGCCCTGATCTCCAGGTGAGAAATGCCCGAGCAACATGTACTCTACCCGGGTTGCCTCCGTCTCTTCTCTCACTTGTACCTCCTGCCCCAACAACACCATCTCGTCGCCTGGGAGCGGATCTATCAATCGCTGCGAGTAACGCCTCCTTCCTGCTCTCCCCAGTTACTTTCATGCTCGTCCTCGTCCTCGTCCTTCTGCTCCTCTTCCTTCTACAGCTCCTTGTCATCCGTCCTGCTCCTCCCATTCTCCTCCTCCTCCTGTTCTCGTACTCCTAATCGTGCTGCTGCTCCTGCTGCTGCTCCTCCTCTTCATCTTCGTCCTCTTTCTACTTCTCTTCGTCCTCCTCGTCCTCCCCCTCATGAATCCCTCCTCCAGTACCTCTCCTCGTCAACCGCCTCTCCCTCTCCCTCGCCCCCTCCCCTTGATCGCCTTGACGATGCTTCAGGTGCATACCAGGATACGGCAGTAATCTTTCCTCCACCTGCTCACTCTGCCCCATCGGCACCTACAAGTTCTTCGTCGCTACCGTCGAATGCCTCACGTGCCCTGGAAACTTCTCCACCCACCAGATCGGTCATCTGCCATATGACTGAAAAGGACCCCTCTTACCTCCTGTCCCCTTCGCAGGTTCAACCTCGTGCGAGTGCTCACCTGGCTTCCAACTGGAGGGCGGCAACTGCACGCGCTGCCCTCAGGGTACTTGGAAGAACTACACTGGCAACGAGACTTGCTCCTCCTGCCCCCCTGACTCCTCCACCGTCCCTGGGGCTGTAGAGATCACAGACTGTATCTGTAACGCTGGCTACGAATGGGTGGACAACGGATGCAGTTTCTGGTCAGCATCCTCGCAAGCCTTCCGCCTCTCCCCCTCTCCCTCTCCTTCTCTCTTTCTCCCTCTCCCAATCTCTGTCTGACAGCTTTCTTCAGTTCTTTCGGAAAGATTCGGAAAGATCTTTCCTGGTCCTCTTGCCAGCCCTGCCCTCCAGGACGCTCGTCCAATGCGGACCGAACCGTCTGCACGTGCGATCAGTATACCTACACCAACAAAACGACCGGCAACTGCCATGAGTGCCTTCCGTAATATGATCTTCTCCCTCCTCCCTCCTCCCTCCTCCATTCTCCTCCTCTCCCTCCTCCTCCTTCTCCTTGTCCTGCTTCTGTTCTTCCTGCACCTCCTCTGCTCGCCTTGCTCGCCTGACCTCCCTCGCTCAACAGCTTCACCGGCTGCGCTCAGGGCGAGTGGTGGAAAAACTGCTCTGAGTACGAGAACGCCGCCTGCATGCCTTGCACTTCCCTTCAGCCCTGCCCCAACGGCTTCTACTGGGACTCCTGCCAGGCATGGGACGACGCGCAGTGCCGTCCATGTACCAACAGCAAGCCTCTCAATGCTCACTTCACTCGTCCTGGACTCCCTGCCGCCCCAACCTCCTGTCCCTCCTGGGCCTGCGACCAGGGATACGAGGAGATTGGAGGAGACTGTGTCGCCTGCCCTAGCGGCAAGTACAGCAACCGGGGACAGCCCTCGTGCTCTTCGTGTCCTGGGGATACAGACTCTCTCCTCCCCGGTCAAGGTTTCTGTAGAGCTTGCAAGACAGGTACGTCATGAGATGGGAGGGGGAAGGAGAGCTACTGGAAAGTTCTTTTTCGCTGCTCACTGTCTACTTCTCTCTTACCTCTGTTCTTGTCTGCTACTTCTCTACTTCTGCCCCTCTTATCCTCCACTCTCCTCCTCTCCTACACGTCCTCCCTTCTCCCTTATACATGTCTTCCCTTCTCCCTGATTGTTCAGTGGCTCAGGCTTCTACATCGAGTCTTTCGGCATGGACGGTCACGCTATCTGCACCCCCTGCCCCGACAACTCAACCACAAGTCCCAACCAGAACATCTACAGCTTCTCTACCTGCCATTGCAGCAGAGGTTACATGGGCTTCAGCTGGAAGTGCCAGCCATGCCAGCCGGTCAGACAGTCTCCATGCTTCTCCAACTCGTCTCGTCCTCCTCTTCTTTCCTCTTGTTCTCTCCTTCTCCACCTCCTCCCCTTGTGTTCTCCTTTTCTTCCCCTCCTGCCCACTCGTGGCACAACTTTAACAATGTCTGCAGGGCACATACAAGCCCAACGTCACAGGGTCAACAGATCTCCAGCTATACTACAGCGGCTTCCAGCTGCTGGACCTCTGCGTCAAGTGCCCTCCCATGACCTTCAACGACCTTCCGGGTCAGTCCAGCGCCTCCTCCTGCCTCCCCTGCCTCCCTGGCTCCACAGCTCCAGAGGGTTCAGCGAGCTGCTCCTGCCCAGCTGGGCAGTACGACACAGACCCAACCGGTCAGGCCTCTTGCCTGCCCTGCCCGTCAAACACCTTCAACGACCACGCTGGTCAGCTCGGCGTCAGCTCGTGCCTTCCCTGCCCGAACAACTCCTACTCCGCCGAGGGGCAGGTTGCCTGCTTCTGTAACTACGGTTACTTCTCGGCTGGTCAGTGCCTGGGTTGCCCAGCTGGGAAGTACAAGCAGGATGTTGGGTGCTTCGACTGCCCAGCGTTCGCCACCTCCAACGAAGGGAGCGTGAGCTCGAGCCAGTGCTTCTGCCGGGGAGGATACTACGGCTCGCCCTCCTCCTCCTGCCTGATCTGCCCGCTCAATACTACCTCGCTCCCCGGGGCAGCAGCCACACTCTCCGACTGCATCTGTGAGGAGGGCTACTACGGCTCCAACACCGACTGCGTCCAGTGCCCCTTGTTGTCAAAATCTCCGGCTGGCAGCACCGTCCTGTCAAGCTGCACGTGCGTCCCAGGATCGGCCGGAGACCCCGGCAGGAACATCAGCTGCAAGCTCTGCTCCGCGGTAGACCCCAACTCGTACAGCTGGGAGTCTTCCTTCAACTGCTCCTGCAACGCTGGATACTACGGCTCCTTCGTCTTCGTGGAGGACAGAGTCCAGGTCAACTGCTCGCTCTGCCCACAAGGCACCTACAGCTCTACTCCAGCAGTCACCCACTGCACGTCATGTCCCAGCAACAAGACTTCTCAGCTCGGTAGCACCAGCTTGAGCGCCTGCACCTGCCCCACAGGGACCGTGGAGGCCAGCGGCGAGTGCGTCGTGACCCAACGCCGGCTCTTGGCGTCCTCGGACGAGGTTTCCTGTCCTCCCAACTCCTCGCAGACGATGTCGGGCTCCTGTCTCTGCGACCCGGGCCACTTCAGCAGCAGCGGAGCCCCGCCCTGCTCGCCCTGCATGGAGGGGACGGTGACCAAGTTCGCGGGGTCAAGCAGCTGCGCCTCATGCCCAGCTGGCTCGATCTCCATCCAAGACAGAACAAGCTGCGTGTGCCCGGTGGGACAATACGGACAGGCCGGCTCCTGCGTTCGCTGCCCGTCAGGCATGCTAGCGGTAGCAGGAAGCGACGAGGCGTCGGACTGCGAGTGTGAGGAAGGGTTCTACCTCCATGAGGAGGAGGAGGCATGCAGGCGTTGTCCGGAAGGGTCCAGCTCGAGGAGAGGAAGCGTCGGGCTCGGCGGCTGCGCTTGTGTCCGTGGCTACTTCGGGAGGCCATGGGAGGGACGAGGCTGCTCAGCCTGCCCGGCGAACGCGTCCTCGGAGGAGAACTCGACGACGGCACAGGAGTGCTTCTGCTCAGCTGGCTTCTACGCAGGGGTGGGAGAGGATCTGAGCTGCAGTCGCTGCCCTCCTCGCTCCTTCTCCCTACCTGGCAGTCGCTCGATATCCAACTGCATGTGCGACGAGGGCTTCTACGGCAACCTCTCCGCACACCAGGACTGCTCCCCGTGCCCGGCCAACTCGCTGGCGGTCGGCAGTCGCCTCCTCCTTTCCGACTGCCTCTGCATGGAGGGCTACTTCTCCGTCCCCAGCGGTCGCTGCCTCGCCTGCCCCGCCAACGCGCTCTCGAGCCTCGGCAGCCGCTCTATCTTCGACTGCACGTGCAACGCCGGGTACTACGGTACCCCTGGAGTTCTCTCATCCCCCCCGACCTGCAAGGCCTGCCCAGCTGGAAAGTACAGCTGGGGTCCAGTCCGGCTGACGGAGGACTCCTGCTTGTCCTGTCCTGCCCACTCGATGTCGAACTCAAGCAGCCTTTCACGGGAGGACTGCAAGTGCGCTAGTGGGTACTGCAGGGGGGAGGGAGAGAGCTGGGAATGTACACCCTGCTCCTGCCCTGCTGGACTCGACGGCAAGATGTGCCTGCTGAGGGAGCTGTGAGGATGAGAAGCTGAGAAATCTCGGTCGAGTCAGCTGGATACAGTGTTGGAGGGCAGCTGAGGGTGTTGGGGTAGTGAGATTGTTTGGCTCTGCTCTTGTTATTCTTTGTGTGTTAGAATCTCAACAAGAATCGCTCACTGTGACTTGATCCCCTCGATGCTCATTGAACTTTCGACTCCACCGCCGATACAGGGCAGGCTTGCCCTGCACGGCAGCACGTCTCTTCTTCTCTAGCCTGAGTCCTGCAGCTTCTACCGCTCTCAGCCAAGCTCCGGCTTCCTCCGAGGCCCGTCTCCGACAGTCACGGCGTCTCAGTCACTGTCTGGCCGCGGCCGCGGGCAGTACTGCCTCGTCACTAGCTAGATCTGAGTAAGAGATATGAAGCTAGTCCCAGCTCTCTTTACTCAAAGTTAAGTTAAAAATCAGGACGAGGACAATCAGAAAAGAGAGCTAGTACTACGGTAGTCGTTTACTCAAAGTTAAGTTAAAAATCAGTACGAGGGCAATCAGGAGGGTTCCGATCACTTGTCAGGCCCGCGCCGGAACAGACCGGAACAAAAAAAAGATTTGACAGGGAGGTCAGGCAAGACGGTGATGGAGGAGGATGAAGAGGAGGAGGAGGAGGAGGACTGAGCTGGAGGGAGTAAGGGAGAGATTGAAGGGAGGAGGCGAGTTTAGAGGAGAGCGGGGGATAGAGGATGAGTTCCTTCTCCATCATTCGTGAGGAAAGGAGAAGAAGGCAGCAGCACTGCCCACTCTCTGACCTGCTCGTGGCAGGCATGAACGGTCTGGACGAGGACGAGATCTCGACGGTGCTGGAGATGCGCATGGAAGGCATAGCGCGACTGACGGAGGAGGTGAGGAGCCTCGAGAAGGAGTACAAGGCTGTGCTGGCAGCCAGCGGGAACCTTAGGAGGGAGCTAGAGGAGTCCAGGGGGCGGAACTCGAAGCTGCAGAGGGTCGTCGCCAAACTTCAGCAGACGCGGCACGTCACGGAGAGGAGGGAGGAGGGAGGGAGTGCAGAGAGGAGTATCCTGGTGAGCTCGGACAGGATCCTCGAGATTTTCAGAACTTCCTCCATCTCCATCCATCCTCGCTCCGACGATCCTTTCCTCCCTGGAAGAATCCAAGACGTTCTCACTCAGCTGGTGGAGGAGACGAGGAGGACGGAGGAGGGGCATGTCACCGCTGAGAGCTACGAGCACGCCCGTAGTCAGTTGAGGCTGTTCAGGGAGAAGGCGGATCAATGGAAGAGGTAGGAGGAGGAGAGGGGGAGGAGCAGGTCGATGAAGTGGAGGGCGAGGAGTGGAGGGCGAGGAGCAGATGGAAGGAGTATGAAGAGGAGGAGTGGAGAGGGAGGAGGAGAGGGAGGGGGAGAAGGAGAGGGAGGAGGAGGAGGTGGGGGAGGAGAGGGAGGAGGAGGAGTGGAGAGGGAGGAGGAGGAGGGGGAGGAGGAGAGGGTTGGACTCATGAGGCATCGCAGTCGATGGGTGGAAGCGACATCGTCACTGAGGGAGCTGAGTGTCAAACTTGCGGTAGCAGAGATGGAGAAAGATTGTTGGCACGTCAAAGCGCTGGAAGAGAAGAGGTGACGAGTCGTAAGTGATGTGCAGATACTGAAGCAGCCTCCTCCCTCCCTCCCTTTCCCCTCCTTCCTCGTCTCCTTCGTTCGCTTCTCCCCCCCCTCCTCTTTCCCCTCTTCTTCCTCCTTCTTGCAGCGCACTCGACAAGCTGCAGTCTTCGGCTGATCGCTTCGACCTCCGAGCAGAACGCATCGTCCTTTCAGACAGCACGCGAACGGCTCTCAAGGAGCAGATGGAAATGGCAGAGTACAGAGCAGCTATTGAGAAGCTGCGGGCAGGTAGAAAGACTGCGATGAGAGAGGAAGCAGAGAGAGAGACGAAGGAGAGAGAGAAGAGAGAGGGGAGAGGAGAAGGGAGGTAAGAGAAGCGAGGGGAGGGGAAGGGAACGGAGGGGAGGGGAGGGGAGTGACATTTGGCGCTGTAAAGTTGAGCTGGAGGCGAAGCTACAAGAGGTGGAGCAGGACTGCCGGGAGGTTCGTTGACGGGGATAAGAGAGAGATCCTTATCAAGCCATGACAGGCGCACGTCAAGATCGAGAACTTAGAAGGGACTTGCTGGCGGATCTCCGAGGAGAAGGGTAGATTGGAGGTGCTTCTCGTGATACTCCTGCTCCTGCTTCTCCTCCGTTGCCTTTGTCATCTTCCACACCACTACAACCACCACCATCAACCCGCTCCTCATCACTGTTGCCCTTCTGTGATGGTACTCTACTTCTCTCCTCCTCCTCCTCCTCCTCCTCCTCCTCCTCCTCCTCCTCCTCCCTCGTGTTGCTGCTCTGGCCGTTGACTCACCTGAAAAGACGCTCCTGGACGAGGCCATTGCTACTCAAATTGACCTTGAAGCTGTGAATGCGGTAATCCTGCATCCTCCCAGTGACAGTTCTGACCCTCCACCTCCTTCTGTTCCTGCTCCTGCTCCTGCTCCTGCTCCTGCTCCTGCTCCTGCTCTTGCTCCTGCTCTTGCTTCTGCTCCTGCTTCTCCACTTCTTCCTCACCCTCGTGATCTGCTAATCCTCCTCCACCGCGGTCACGATCGCTGCCTTCCTCGCCTCTCCTGCTGGAACGACGCAGAGGATGAAGAAGCAGCTGGAAAGTCTCGGCCTCGAGGCTCAGGTGCTGCGCCAGCTGCACGTGCGAGAGTGACGGGGGGCCTTGTCGAGGATCACTTCTTCACTCATCACAATTAGCTCTTCCTCTTTTCACGTTAATCCATTAGCTCAACCCCTTTGCAAGCACACCTGCACGAGCCCTGGAGGCAGGAAGGGCAACAGGCCCTTCACTTCTTCCCTCCGAAGCCGCCGAAGCCCATCATGGCCTCGAAGCCGTCGTCCAGCCCCTCCTTCTCCTTGGCCCTCTCCTCCTCCTTCTTCTGCCTCTTCAGCTGCAGACGCTTCAGTCTCTTCACAGCCTCATCCTCCTCCTTCATCCTCCTGTTCCCTCCCTCTTCTCCTCTCCCTGTTACTTCCTCCTCAACTGTTTCTCCCTCCCTCGATCCGTATCTCCACTTACCACTCGCTTTGCCTCTTTGCTCATCTCCTCCTCCTCTCGCAACCTGTCATCCACCATCACTCTGCCTATAAGGAGACACAACAAGGCCTCTACTTTGCAATGCGCGAGTCCAGCTCGTCCAGAGCAGCCACCTCGTCGTCGACATCCTGAGTAGCCTTCTTGCGATCCGACGGCCGATGCTCCCTGCCTGACGTTAGACCCTCCACACAAGCAGGAGAGCTGCGGCTCATCGTACCTCATGCGCTTCTGAACTTGCTCGAGAGTTGCTCTCTCGCACCTGTAAGCAAGGAAGCAGTTAGCAGGAGGAGGAGGCAGCAACATCGTTCACTCACCTCATGTTCATCCCAAGGGCCTGGTTGTGCTTCTTTCCGTTGATGTGGTCCAGCCAGCTCATGCTGTCCTTGAGCGAGCACTTGCAGACTTTGCAGTAGAAGCTGGAGGCTCGTCATCCGACAAGGATGTCTCTTCCTCCCTCCCTCACCCTCCACTGAGCTCCAGGGGTGTGTTTGACGAGACCACAATCGCCTTCCCGACCTGCATGGAGATACTTTAGGCCCTCGCCGACAACATCGCAGGCATCGTGGCATCACCAGCTTGTCGATCTGAAGATCATTGCCGTCTCTCGACCTGTTCCTGTCGAGGGCGTCGCGTCGGATTACGGTACCTTTCCGTATGTTACAAACATGCTCAAAAATCAGGGACGTCTGAAGGACATCCAAGAGAGCACAATCACCAGAGTAAGACGATGACGATGCTGGATCAGCCTGCACCATCTCCATCAGTTCACCTTCGTCGTGGAAGTTGCTGCATCACCGCAACTTTCAGCATCTCCTCTGCTTTCCTTTCGTCGGCTTTTCGCTGATATTCATCCACATTCCAAGTTCGTCGATGGACCTTTACAATGTTGTGAGCATGTTATCATGGTCATCTAAAGATGTATCATATCTATGCCATTTTCCTCCACCACGACTCTGCGCAACATAAAATACCATCTCCTGTGATCTACATTCTGCTGCTTTTCTATTTCCCAGACCCATGCTCGACCTCGCCTCGTCCTCCTCTCTCATCTCCTTCTTCTCATCCCTGTCTACATACATCCTCATCCTCATCCCCGTCTTCATCCTCGTCTGTACTCCTCGTTCTCCTTCTCCCCATCCTTTCCCTCCTCTCACCTGAAGCTTCGCTCCTGCCGCAGCGGCATTCTTGTCTGCCATCTCGAGTGGTGACCGTTACATGTGTTCAGGATGCTTGCGTTGACGAAGAAACGATAGGTAACGGTCTTTAACGGTCTGTTTCCAATGGCCCGGCGGAGGGTCCGGGCCCGGGAACTGAAGTCACTGGGATTGTCCTCCTAGTGATTTTTAACTTAACTTTGAGTAAAAGCCACAGTGGGACAGTATTGACAGTAGTAGTAGTGAACTTTGAGTGAATTATTGTACTTCTCCCGTTCCGATCGTCCTTGAGGGTGGGGTGCTTGGGTAGGAGACTTGTCCACCGGTGGTGATTATTGAGGTAATCTGGGTGGGGTATGAAATACTACCGGTCCTTTTGAAGGATTTTGACATGGAACGATAGGGTGATTGTAGCGGTAAGGTGCCTGTGCACGGGGGTACGGAACAAGTTCGGAGGAAGATAGGGTCATATTGCAGTCAAAAACACCGGTACCCCAAGATAAGGGGAGAGGTGAAAGATCGTATCGGGGTGGGGTGGGGGTATTACAGTACGGGTGGTGAATACGATTCACTTTTTGTGGAGGGTGGTGGGTCCAATTTCACCGGTACTTTATACTAACAAATCGCTATAATTGACGGGTGGTAAAGTTAAGGGGTACCATTGGAGATCTCAAGGTGGGTGGTATTTCATAATATGAGAGCGGGAATGCATGCAACGCAACGAGGCGACGGGCAGCAAGGAGGAGGAGGAGGAGAGGAGGAGGAGAGGAGGAGGAGAGGAAGAGAAGAGATGAAGAGAGAGTTGTATGGGGGAGACAGAGCAAACTTGGTAGAGAAAGGGAGAGGCATGATATGGTGTAGATTGTGCAGTCAGGTGAGGATTAGGACGAGCAGTTATGGGGTAGGAGTAGCGGTGCATGGAGCGAGGGTGGTTAACTTGCAAGTAATGGGCGATAATCTGAAGCGATGCAAGAGATGAAGGAATGGATGAGAGATGGTAATATGCAGGAGAGTGGTACGTGTCTTGCCATGCCCTGGATCATCGTGGGGGAATCCTCACCAAACTCAACATTGCACGAGACATTACATGGAATTTAGGCGGGGTTGAATGTTGAGCGGGGTTGAATGTTTGTTATGCAGTCAAGTATGCAAGTCTTAGTTCGTTAGAGCGCATAGAAGCTCTCATGGGCCAGGGCTCTGAGCTCCTGATCCATCTGCGAGATACCATGCATTTTGGTTTCAAAGGAACAGGGAGATTACAGCGATGTGAAGTACAGTACTGCTGTAAACAACAGTGAGAAAAGAGTGTTGCTAGTATCTGTTCCCCAGGCACAAAGTTGATGCTGTTCATGCCGTCTTGATCTTCCATTCAAGGACGTGCAGGCTTTGTGTGGCTGACCTTTCTTAAAGCTCACAGTGATAATTCAAGGATTGAAATTCTTGCTGATTTCTGAGTGCAGCCAGTACAGAAAGGCAAAGAGCTCGTGGTACTGATAGCTCTGCTTACTATGTCTGCAAGGTTCCAACTTCATTTCCATTTTGTCTTCGTCGTGATGGGGTTTGCAGTGCGTGAGGGAACGGGTAATGTCGTTTTATACTGCTGCAAGGGGTGGCAATGCAGAAGACATCCGACAGTTCTTGCTACACGGGGCAGATGTACATCAGAGATTCAACGATGACCGCACGGCACTGCACTTCGCGTGAGGATGTTGTGGATCAGGTGCTGGTGCTTGACTTTGAGCTTGAAGGTGCGATGGAGGGAATGCCGATGCGGTCCAGGTCCTGCTGGACTTCAATGCAGATGTCAACGTGAAGGATGCTTTCAATCATGTCCGCTAAACCCCTTATCTCCCTTGTCTGAGCTGAAAGAATTGCCAGGACACTCCCTTGCACCTAGCTTCGGAAGGGGGGCATGTGCGAGTGGTAGAGGTGCTCTTGAAGGCAAGATTGAAACCTTGACGATAAACTCTTGAAGTCTGTTGCAACAGCACCAAGCGGACGTGAATGCGCGTGACAAGATGAACGGTGAAACGGCGTTGCATCATGCTTGCGAGAAGGGTACACTGCGTTTGAGAGCGTGTGTTGGCTGAAACAATGATAGGTTACGATGACATCATCCGGATATTGTTGGATCATGGTGCGGATCTTTCTTTGGAGGATGTTTACAGGAAGACTCCGATGCACTATTACAGAGGACAGGTTGACCCTTGTGCTCCTCCCTCCTCCCTCCTCGCTAGCTCTTTACAGCTGCCCCCCCCTACTCTTTCTCGATCTCTCCCCTTCTTCCCCTACGACTTTCTTTCTCCACCATGCCATACATCCAACCTCTCCTATCTCGCTCTCCTGCTCTCATGCAATCTGATCAGCTCGTGCAGCTCTCTGAATTCCTGGCTGGGGAGGGTCATCACTCCGCCGCAGCTCTCGTATGCCTGCTGTAATGCGACCGCTCCTCCTGACACTGCGGTGTTGCAGTTTTATGAGGACGAGAGGAATCCTCAACTAGACAACCCAACGGCGCGACAGACTTCAACGCATGAGAGAGAATACCTGCATGACGGCACGAGCGGGGAGTTCTCATCTTCCTCCGTTCAAGCTGGAGGGGGGTCGACGGGGGCAAACGGAAACTCGAGCTCGATGAGAGGAGGAGACCGTCTGCATGAGGTGCTTGAGCTGCTCGACAGGCAGGAACAGGTGCATGAGCTCCACCACAAGGCTCTTCAGGCAGCGGATGTTCCTGCCGCACCTCCCAACAGGATCGGGTGGGAGCAGGAGGAGGAGGAAGACAAGTTTGCAGGGGGAAAGTGGTACGCAGGATACAGCATCGGGGGGAAGGATGGGGAGGGACTGGACAAGCAGAACCAGGACTCCTTCTTGCTGAGCCCCTTCCTTGGGGGAGACCTTGGGGTGTCGCTGTTCGGCATTTTCGATGGGCACGGTCGTCAGGGGCACCTAGTGTCGTCCTTTGCTAAGAAAGTTCTGCCGTCCATTGTGGGATCCAAGTTAGAGCAGCTCATGCCGGGGAGGAAGAGAGACGGAAGCGATCGCGTGAGGGAGGAAGATGGGGGTAACAGCGGGCAGGGGATCCCTCAGCTACTGTCAGAGACCTGTAGCGAGCTTCAGCGTCTGCTCCTTGAGCAGACTGACTTCGACGTCATGGCCAGCGGGAGCACAGCCGTCATCGCGCTGATAGTGGACGATCTGCTGTTCGTAGCCAACGTGGGGGACTCGCGCGCTATCCTCGCGCATGCTGTTGAGAATCAGTCGAGGAGGAAGGAGGAGAGGGAAAGGCTGGCGATCGTGGCGATGAGCACGGATCAGACTCCAGGTGTGTCACATGCGTGCGTGTGGGAGGGAGCGTGAGAGGCAGAACAGGCGTAAAGGAGGAGAAAGAGCGGATCGAGAGCCATGGGGGAGTCGTCTACAGAGATGAAGACGCGTACACTGGGGAGCAAGGGCCCTTCCGGGTGTGGAGGAGAGACCTTGCAGGTCCGTCGTTGTCCCCTCCTCCTGCTCCTCAACGTCCTTTCCACTCATCCGCCGTTGCTTTCTCCCTCTGAAGCTGCGGCATCCTCTCATTACTCCCCCTCATCATCATGATCAACACCGCCACCACCATCATCATCCTGTGGCATGAACATGACGATACCACCAACAACTACTACCAATGTCGTCGTCGTCATCCTCCTCCTCCACCATCATAATCAACGAAAATGACAACAACATCAACAAAAAGAATTCTAACGATCATTCAATTTTGTTCTGCTCAGGTCCAGGGCTGGCAATGTCACGTTCAATTGGGGATGCCATTGCGCATGACGTGGGGGTAACAGCGTTGCCGACAGTGAAGCAGTACGAGCTCAAGGACAGCGACCGCTTCCTCCTCCTCGCTACCGACGGCGTGTGGGACATGCTAGAGAACAGCGAGGTTGTTGACATCGCTGCGCGTGCGAGCGAGGACGGGAGGGGCGACCCGCTGAGTGCAGCGGCACAAGTTTGTGAGACCGCGAAGAAGGCGTGGGAGTTCAAGGAGACGCGGATGGACGACATCTCATGCCTGCTGGTCTTCCTCCCTCCCTCCCGCTTCCTCCCCAGCATCAGCATGCAGCAGCCATGGTTCGCTGCTGACACCAACGAGGTCGTCACGACTCCGCCGAGGAGGAGGAGCCAGGGGATCGTCATGAGCAGTCACTTCGTGCCAAGGGAGGAGCCGCTGGGGGAAGAGCCGGTGAGGAGACAGTTGGGAGGAAGGCAAAATGGGGGCAGCGGCGTACGATGGAGAGGGGCGGGGCGGGGCAGGACAGGAGGGGGAGGGGGAGGAGGAGGATGGAGGAGGAGGATGGAGGAGTGTGTGTGTGAATGTGTGTGGGAGGCAGGAGGTTCTGAATGCATCGTTTCCTCAGATCCGGCTCAAGAGTAACGATGAGTGGTCAAGGCCGCAGCAGGTGTGGGGAGGGCGTGTGTTGTCAGCAGACAACGTGAGGGAGCGGGAGGAGACGGCGCGCGATTGGATGGATGGAGATGGCCTGTTCCGCATCAAAGCACAGACGCTGCTGCCTCATGTAAGACGAGGAGTGAGAGGGGAGGAGCAGGAGCAGGAGCAGGAGCAGGAGCAGGAGCAGGAGCAGGAGCAGGAGCAGGAGCAGGAGCAGGAGCAGGAGCAGGAGCAGGAGCAGGAGCAGGAGCAGAAGCAGGAGCGTGTATGACAGGTGCTGCAGGATGCGGAATCGAGGCCGGCGAGGGGAAATCACTTCATGCACGAGGTCCAGCCGATGAGAGAAGCAGGTGAGGGAGGGGAGAGAGAGACATGGAGGGAGGGATGGTGGTTGAGGACGGGGGAGGGGGGCAGGAGATTGTGGTGGAGAAGAAGGGGAATGTTTCGGAGGAGGATCATGTTGAGAGAGAGAGCAGGGCACGGGAACCAATCGAAGGACGAATGTATCGTTCAGTAACGAGGGAAAGGGTGTGTTTCAACAAGAGCTCCTTTACTCCCCTCGGCTCCCACTTCGAGAGGGAGAAGGACAAACAACTTAGCTTCTGCTCCTTGTTCTGGAAGTGGACGAGAATGAAGGGCGCGGGCCTGCAAAGAAAGTCAGAGCTCCGGGTCATTCCTTTCCCTCTCCTCTGCCTCTCCTACACTCCTCGTTCCTCCTCTCAATCATCATCTTTCTTGTGCACACATTAACTTCACATCCCCCTCAGTTCTCCTGATACACTCCCCGATCTTGTTCTTACTCCCCCCACACACATCCCTCCCTCCCTCCCTCCCTCCCTCCCTCCCTCCCTCCCTCCCTCCTATTCCTCTTCCTCCTCTCACCTTTACGATCAAATCCAGCAAACAGACGACTTCCTCTTGGCCGCCCTCGCGGTCGCCCTCTCGACCTCCCTACCTGCGTGCCCAGTCAGCACTAGGAGGAGGATGAGAAGGAGGAGGAGGCGTCACCGGTCCATCGCTCGCTCCTACTGCTGCCTCCTCCCCGTCCTTTGGCCCTGAGGCCCCGCTGAGAGCAGGAAGGTGGAAGCCAGGGATGATCTCGATGTCGTTGTCCTCAGACGGGAACTTGCCCTCCTCCTCATCTCCGTCGTCCATCAGGAAAAGGAACGTCCCGTCCTCCCCGCACCCTCGGATCCACCCGCAGAACCACTGGGAGTCTTCGTATAGTATGCGCACTCTACTCCCCACGAGCCTCCTCCTCCTCCTCTCCTCCTCCTTCCCCTTCAGCAGGACTGCAATGTCCTCCTCCTGCCTCCTCGCCACCTCCTCGTCCGGTGACAAAATGATTCTCATTCCCGAGGAGGGGATGTTTTCCTCTACGCTGGACCCGTCCAGCATCCTGATGAGCCATCGTCCCCCTACCTGCTCTGTGACTGCTCCTTCCCGCTCCTTCCCCTTGACCTTCACCTTCACTTTGCAGCCCAGGAAAGATCTCCCGCTCCTCAGGGAGAGTGCTGGTACCGGAGGAGGGGAGGCAACGAGATCCTCCTCCTCCTCCTCTTCTTTGTCCTCCTCCTCCTCTTTGTCCTCCTCCTCCTCTTTGTCCTCCTTCTCCTCCTCCTCTTTCTCCTCCTCCTCTTCCTCCTCCTCCTCCTCCTCGTCGTGCTTCTTGTCCTTCATGTGCTTCCTCTCCTCTTGCTTCTGCTTCTTCCTCCGCTGCTTCTGTGTCCCCCGCCATTTTCGTGCTCCCCCGGCTCCCTCCTCTGTCGTCGCCCCCACTGCAACCTTCGTTGCTGTCCCATCCCCTCGCCTCTGCTGCAGATTTCGTTTCTTCTTCCCCTCATCTTGCTGCCCCACCCGCAGCTTCTTGAGATTGGACTGACTAGCGTTATTCTCCTCCTCCCTCTCCCTCTCCCTCTCCTTTTTCTCCTTCCCCCTCCGATCTTTCTTCTCCTTCTCCTTCTCCTTCTCCTTCTCCTTCTCCTTCTCCACATTCATCTTTTCCTTCTCTTCATGGTGATGAGACGCTTTTGCTGCCGATGAAGCTTTCTGGCCGTGTCGAACTCTTGTCTGCGGTTTTGCAACATCTGTCAACCTTTTGTCCTGCAACGATCTAGTCGATTCCTCCATCCCTTCCACATCAGCGTCATCTGAATCATTTTCCTGCTCTATCTTCTCCTCCTTGTCCTTGTCCTTGTCCTTGTCCTTGTCCATGTACTCCCTCTCTTCCTCCCTCCCCTCCTCCCTCTCCTCCCCTCCCCCCCCCTCTCCCTCCCTCTCCTCCTCTTCCAAAGTTCTTGACAGATCCATCGCAGTCTTCAGTCTTGGAATTCTTCCTCCCATCCTCCTTAAAGCACTGGATCGCTCCCACTCGCTCTCCTTCCATCCTCCTGCTCCTCCTCTTGCTCCATCTCCCCCACCTCAACCGGCCCGACTCTACTCTCTCCTCTATCCTCCTCGCTGTCCATGTTCAACTCGATGATCTGACATCCTTCCTCCTCCCCCTCCTCGCTGACCGACCAGGAGGAGGCCGAGCTGCTTGCACTAGCACATGACGAGGACCTTGCAACTTCCACAGGCATGGGACCGGATCCTCCATCCCCCGCCTCCTCCCCTTCATCTCCCTCCTGCTCCACCGCAGACGTTTCTCTGACCTCGATGACAACCTTGGCCTTGACCTTCCCCACAAGGTTGGACGCCGAGATGGAGAATTGAGTGCGGGGAGGGAGCCGAGCAGTTCACCAGCACGTCTCCTCTGTCTCTGTCGATCTTCACAGCGTCGCAGGTCGGCGAGATCTTGTAGGAGAGAGGAGGAGACCCGTCGCTGTAGAGCACGTTCAGCGTCAGCACCCGTGGAGCAGCAGTCCGCATCTGCAGAAGGAAGTAGGTCGACGCATATCGAAGGAGGCGTGGGGGCTCGAGGACGAGGATATGGAGGTACACATGAGTCCTCTTGCCCATGCTCGCTGCTTCCACCTTATAGTTGTGCATGACTGCTCCGGCTCCGGCTTCTGCTTCTGCTCCGGCTCCGGCTTCTGCTCCTGCTCCGGCTCCGGCTTCTGCTTCTGCTCCTGCTCCTGCTCCTGCTCCTGCTCCTGCTCCTGCTCCTGCTCCTGCTCCTGCTCCTGCTCCTGCTCTCACAGGGGCTCCTTTGATCACTCCTGTCCTCTCGTCAAGCTCCATGCCCTCTGGCAATGCCGGGGTGACATGAAAGATAACGGGCCCAGGAGCCGAGACCTCTCGAGGACGCAGACAATCGTGTACACCTGCAGCACAGACCAGCATGTCTGACCAGTACTCAAGGAATACGTGTTGCTTGCTCGACTCCACATCCTTTTCCTCCCTTCCCCCTTCCTCCTCCTCCTCCTCCTTTTCCGGTCCCTCCTTCTCCACCATGGCCTCGAGATGTAGTCGCGCTATCCTCATCATCTTCTCCTGACGAGCAGCAATTCGGAGCCTGACATGCTGCTTTTCCTTCAGAACACCTCTCCTGATCAGGATCCTCCCTGTGGTTCTGCAGAAATCGATTCCATCTAGACAGTAGGAGGAAGAGGAGGAGGAAGAGGAGGAGGAGCAGTCCTTGACAGCAAACCCGTCGCATGCTGGACCTGGGAGGTACGGCTGGATCACATAGTTTCGATGCCGGCGAAGCAGGAAGCGTTGTTCATCGCCCTCCTTCTCAGCCTCGCCCGCGTCCCCCCCTGCTTCCACCAGCCTCTGCATCTTTTCCTCTTTGTCGCTCGGGGAGAGCTCCTCGTTCATGGCGATCGAGGACAGGAGGAACTCGATGTCAGTCGACGAGTCACGGACCGCATCCTTGCTGCTCGACTTGTTGTTGTTGTGAGGAGGGCGGAGAGTGTAAGTGAACAGCGATGGTGTGTCCTCTCGCTCTGAGGTAGGGGGTTCCAGGCAAATCCGCCTTACCATGTCACTATCGCCGCAGCGTCGTGATGGAGGTTGAGGTGCGTGTGCCAGGGGCAGGGGCAGAGGTTGAGAGGGAGAGCTATGCGGGATAACAGGATCGGGTGACATCGCAGAATGAACAGGCGAGCAGGAGCAGGAAGAGAATGAAGAGGTCGATGTTGAGGAGGAGAGAGGAGGCGAGTGGCGGGAGATGAGAGGAGGATCAGTAGCAGGGGATCTGCGATCAGGACTTGGAGGGAGAGGAAGAGGACGAGACGACAGAGAAGATGGGAGGGAGGAGGGAGACCGTGAGCTTGCGCCGCCCTGCAGGCAGGTAGGAGGAGGTGAGGATCGAGGAGGGCGGGGTGACAACGATGAAGAGAGAGGAAGAGGGAGAGGAGGGGAGGAGGAGGGAGGGAGGGAGGGAGAGCCTGAGGGAGGAGGCGGAGCGGCGGGAAGAGCCTCTGAGGAGTCTTGCTGGTCATCATCAAAGTAGGTCAGGGTACAGCCATTACCAACCATTATTAGTGACCCCACAACTTCCTGGCCCTCATCACCACGCTGACCCGGAGCCGGGCCCCGGCCCCTCACCGCCTCACGGTACCCTGGCCCGGCGCGGCCGGGGGGTACGGTCCGACACGGGCCGCTACCGGGCTGGGCCGGGCCCGTATGGTTCCGGTGGGCCCGGGCCAGTGTGGTCACACTCAGCGCAGCCACTGTCGCCTGTGGCCGGGGCCGCTAGCCAACCGTTCACTGACGGGCGCCCGGCGGCCCGGCCGGGCCGCGGCGCCCGGCGTGCCACGCCGTCCGCCCGTGCCACGGTCCGCGGCCCGGCCGCTGGCCCGGGACTCAGGCTCAGCCCTCGGACCGGCCCGGCGTACGGGCACTGTTCTACTAGCCAGTAGGCTACCCGGTACGGTAAACTTTTACTGAAAGAAAGGTAGTACGGCGGACGGTCTGGGCCCGAACTCCCGGCGGGAGCCTGGGGAGAGCGGCCCGGCGGCGACTCTCAGTACTGAGTGTGGTCTATGAAATAAGTAATAGTAGCCCTCGTCTCTTTACTCAAAGTTAAGTTAAAAGCCTGTGGCTTCACGTGCCGCATGATAAAGCCCATCGAACTTACAGTACCCCTACCCCCCCTTCTTCCCATTTGTATCCCAGTCCTCACCCCATTATTTAGCCCTACCCCTTTTTTATGTGCTACCCCCCTTGGATCGCCCCCCTCTTGGTAATAACCCCTAGATTGAGAGGGTGGAAGGGTGGAAGGGGGGGTAGTCCTGTGTCTAATGGAATTTCCAGAGCAATAGTACCCACCCCTGTCGATGGCCAATAACTTCCAGAAAATTTACCATCACTACCCCTCAAATGACTATACCCCCACGTCGACCTTGATAACGTTTCGACTACCCACCCCTCGTGAAACTTTATAGCACCGGCCGTTCAAGACGGAATTTTAACCACTTGTACCCCTCACCCCTAAAATGACTACCCTACCCGCAACACTCCCTATTGTGAGCACGCGCTGTCACCACGTTCGTTGTAGCCACCCCACTAATTTGTGACATGACCCCTATTTTGATTACCCCCACCTGTTTATTTAAACCAATGTGAATTCATTGTCCTGTTATAGAATCTTTTTGTAATTCAAGTCTTAAGTAATAGATGATAGCTCTGAAGCAGAGGGTTTGAGATTGAGCATGGAGGGGTACTTGATTCACCCCTACCCTTAGTTTGCAACCCACCCTTGCTAGCCCCCTTTGGTCATTGTCCGTTACAAAGAGACAGAGCGAGTAACGAAAATTTGACTTAGATTGTGTACCGAAAGCCCCGCATGCATCCTTGCTTCGCTTTCCCCGGGGGTACTTCCAATCCTGAGGAAAATAGGGTGGGTAATTATAGTACTAAAATTTAGTAAATATTAAGTATAAACTGATATACAATAAAATTTTAGTTTTGGACTGGTATCTTGAATAATATGGAGGTGGGTACTTTGACCAGAAAAAAGATTCAGAAGGACCCCCCAAGGAAATAGTGTCATACGCAGCCGCCTGCACTCCCTTCGCGTGCTATGATGGTGGGGGCAGGAGACAGGCGTCCGGCGCCATAATGAGCAGCCCCTCCTGCTCCTCCCTCCCTCCCCATCCCTTCTTTCCTCCCTCTCTCCTCTGAGACACTGGAGCACATCTACAGCAACATCCTCCTCTCTCACGTGGCGTACAGGTCACGTGTACGACCTGGACAGGAGCAAGGCCATCATTGCCCTGAGGTGTAAGCGACAGGGCTGTAGCTATCGGGGTGCTTTCCTGCGCTCTCGTGAAGGAAAGAAGCAGTCTCGTGTGCTTCGCTGACTGATTGCTACGTTCTGAGCTCACATTGAAACGAGAGCAGATTTTTTCTCGATTTGTGAATGATTTGAAGGGGTTCGTTGGTTGGTTGAGAATACCTTGCTTCAGACACTCATCGCTGTTCCTATCAAAATCCAGACCTTGCCACGACAACAGACATGAATACCCAGGTCTGATTGCTCATTCCTAGACGTTCAACCTTCAACAGGCTCGATCCTGTAGTCCTAAGTGGACAGAATATGGATACCAAAGGCATGAAGATTCCTCAACAGGACGTGAACGTCATAGCATATGACAACGCCAATGGTCAAGTTGGAAATGGCGATGATCGAGCAATCTCGGCCCCTCCAGTTCTTGAATTCTCTGCAAAGACGTTGTTCTCTTACCAGTCTCCGTTTGGCGTTGGCGAGGCAAGGGCCGACAACGCTTCTTACAACCAGTACTACCCAACGACAGCGACTGAAGCCCATGCTGTGAACAACCCGATGAAGAACTTGGGCTTCAGATATGTCGGCAACCCCAACTCCCGGGACGAGGCTCCCGACAACCGCATGATGCAGCAGGGCATGCCAGGGGTCAACGCGCATGGAGGGCCAGCCCCTGCCCTGGCCAAGGGGAAGAGTGGAACCAATTCCTTTCTAGAGGCTGGCAGCGAGATCAGCTCGATTTTCGGACTGGATCCAGGTGGGAATGACGGTGACGATCGCCCAGTCTGGGGAACAATTGACCAGATGGGCGGGTCCATGGAATTTCTCAACGAGCAGGCTCTGGGGGAATCGGACTCTATGTCAGGCTCGAACGTCTCTGCTCCTGTTCCTGTGCGAGCTCGTCCTCAGAAGCCTCCAGTCGATCCATCCAATCCCATGCAGCCAAGAGGTCGAGTGAGAGAGCTGCAAATGTCTGGCGATGCCCTCCGCTCGGGTGGGGCCAGGAGTGCCTCCCCGCACCATATCATCAGGTCACCGTTCGAAGAAAGCGCCTGGGACGCTCTCGCTCTCGGAAAAGTCTTCAACAATTTTCGCTGCAAAAGTGCCGAGCTAGGCAATGGTGTGGGCGCTCTGAATGAAGGTACCAACGATGACAGCGAGCTGAATGACGATCATATTAGCGGTCTTGTCAATGCCTTGGAGGGTGGGAATGACAATGGCGCAGGGCTCGATGATGAGAACTCCTACTTGAACTCAGACATGAACAGCCCTCTCAACTTTGACATCGAGAAACTCACGCTCCCACCCGGCATGGGTCGCAATGGTTCTTCCTCGCAGCTCAGCCCCGCCCAACCGAACAGTGCTAGCATGCTCCAGCCAATGTCGCCGGCTCAGAGGCCTTCCGATAGTTCAGTCCTCAGTCAGCAAGTTCCAGCCTTCGGCTTGGATGGACATCCCAATCAGTTCCCACAGCAACCGTGGTCTACCCTTGGGAATGAGCAGTTCGGGAACATTGACCCTAACATACAGCCCAATGCGGCCGCTTTCGCGATGAATGGCATGTCCATGCCTCCGTTCGGCATGGGTGCGCCGGGATTTATGCCTCCTGAAGCCGCTGGATTCATGCCAGATCGTTTTCCTGACCCTATGAGGCAATCGGCGGCCGAGGCTGCATACGCACAATCGATGCAGCAACAGATGCTCCTTTACCAGTTGCAGATGCAGATGGTGCAGGCACAAGCTCAGATGGGGCAAGTCCCAGAAGGAGGAATGCCAATGATGTATCAAGGACCCGGCGTTCCATTCAACCCTATGATGCAAGGCGGTGCTTTCCCGCAGCAGAGCATGGGTAACAGGAACCGTATGGGGCAGAACAAAGTCTCGATGAACTATGGCCCTGGAGTTGGAGTGTTTGGAAGGAATGCTGGCTTCGACAACATGCAAAGCCGTGCGCCGCCCATTCCAGAGACCGCAAGTCTGACGGTGAACATCAATGATCGAGGCAGGAAGTCTGCCGTCGATGTGAACAAGCTCATATCTGTACAACAAGTTGTTGGACAGATTTTTTCGCTATCTCGGGATCAACTTGGTTGCCGGTTCCTCCAGAAGCAGCTGGAAGAGAACACGCAGATGAGCTTGGATATTATCTTCAGTGAGGTGATCGAGAGGATTGTCGACCTCATGACTGATCCCTTCGGAAACTACTTGTGTCAGAAGTTGCTGGACTACTGCAACCCCGAACAGCGTGCTGCGATTGTCAGCAGGGTCGCTCCCCACCTTGTCCCCATCTCCCTCAACATCCACGGGACCCGTGCGGCACAGAAGCTTATCGAGCGTCTTGGGTCGGATCACTATCCGACCGAAGCAGAGATCCAGGCTGTGGTCAATCATCTCAAAGGAGGCGTCATCCAGCTCATCCAGGACCTCAACGGTAATCATGTCGTCCAGCGATGCCTGCAGAAGCTCGATGCCAAGCACAACCAATTCATCTACGATGCAGTAGCCCAGCACTGCATCCTTGTCGCGTCCCATCGCCACGGATGCTGCGTGTTCCAGCGTTGCGTTGATTTCGCGACTCCGGAGCAGAAGCACCAGGTAGATTTGGAGGCCGTTGAGGCTGATGCGGAAGTTGGATGCTGATGTCTCGTCAGGTTGTGATGCAAGTTGTGGAAAAGACTGTCCAGCTCGTACAGGATCAATATGGAAATTATGTTGTACAATATGTACTTGAACAAGTAACTTTCTTGTTGCTTGTCTGTGCAAGCTCTCACTCACCGCCTACCTATCAGGTTCCTGCCTACCGACCAAACATCGTGTCAATCATCGCTATCAGCATCATTCAACTCAGTCGGTGAGCTGCCCAGGTCTGTTCCTACGGCGCCGTGACCCAGTCGCAGGCAAAAGTTCAGCTCGAACGTGGTAGAGAAGTGCCTGCAGCTGGCCTCGCCGGAGGGGCAGGCAAGATTGGCTTGAGAAGCTTTGGAGATGTCGCTCATCGAGGTCACTTGCAGGCGTTGATGGTCACCCAGCTGGCGCAGAAGGAACAGATCCTCAGCTTGCTGCAAGATCCTTACGCCAACTACGTGATCCAACGAGCTCTGCAGGTTCGCTCCCCTCCTCCCTCCCTCTCTCGTCCTTACTTCCCCTCCATCAGGTCGCTACCAGTCCACAACTTGAAATGCTCCTGGATGCCATCAAGCCCCATCTCTCCGCCATCCGCAACACGTGAGCGCCTCCTCCTCTGCCTTCTCCCTTCCCTTCATCCTGCATTCCTCCCTCCTTCGCTCCTCTTCCTTTTCTCCTTCTCTCTTTCATCCTCTTTTCCTCCTCGTTCAGTTTCATCGTGTCCGTGGTTGACCTGTCTATTCTGTAGGTCATACGGCAGGAAGATTCAAAGCCGAGTGTCGAAGCGATGCCCTGGAGGCATTGAGAACATGCCGTCTGCTGAGGAAGCAGTTGCACGACAGGTCCTTTGCTCTCAACCTCCCTCTTCTCCTCACTCCCTTCGCCTTGCCTCCCTCATCCGCATCCGCATCCTCATCCTCATCCTCATCCTCCTCCTCTCCTCCTCCTCCTCCTCTCTCATCTCTCCTCCTCCTCCTCCTCCTCCTCCTCCTCTCTCATCTCTCCTCCTCCTCCTCCTGACTCGTGTACTCCTGCAGGCTAAGAAGGGTTTCCCTCCTGCAAGGATGCCTGGAGAGATCATGAGCATGGCGGGTCAGATGGCGAACTTGCAGCTTGGCGGCCCCTCCAACTTCGGGGGCTTCAACGAGAACTTCAGCCTTGACTTGGGAGGGGATGTGCCGCATCATCGTCCGGACATGGGCTTCCGGTTCGATGAAAGCTTCTCCCCGGGGCCCGTGGGGATCCGAGAGCTCAATGCTGACGAGGATCAGATGGCTCCGATGAACTTCGGTGGGGCTCTAGAGCGGCAGCATGGAATCATGCTGGAGGAAGAGGAAGAGGAGGAGGAGGGGAGTGGCGAAGCGGGGAAGGAGCATGTGGCAGGCGAGACTGCAGACAGCGCTGAATCTCGATAGTGATCTATCGACTGTGAATTAATCTGTACTTATAGCTCACAAGTGATTCTTTTAATACCGCCAAGTGTCGTCGTCAGGCTCTTGTCATGTGACTGATGTTCCTCTGTGATCTTGGGAACTGGAGGACAGAAAGAAACTCTGTATCAAAACATCTCTAGCGCTCGCTCGTGCTGCCCTGTACTACTTCCTCCCTATTCGTAGGTACAATAAACGTAGATGATCGTCTTAGCTGCTGCCATCCGACCACCTTGCCTGCCGTCAGCTGATGTGAAAGAAGCAGAGGAGGAGGTGGTGGACGAGCAGCAGTGGCAGTGCCAGCACCAGCACCAACAGTACCAGGGGAGAGTGCATAACGAGCGCTTCGATCTTGGACTCTTGGTCATGGAGGATCTCCTGTACCTGTGGTAGCAGAGCAGAGCAGAGCAGAGCACTAGTAAGGAGAGGAAGCAGAAGGGAGAAGAAGACCTTGGCTACGTGTTCATCTTGTTCTGACAAGCTCTCCCCATAGAGCTCCTCTAGCAAGCTCCGTGTGCTCCTGCCCACCTGCCCTGTCCCTCAACCACCGCCATGCCCCCCACAGACTAGAACCTCAACTAGCCCATGCCAGCTGCGGCAGCTCGTGAGATTGTGATGACTTGAGTAAGGAGGGAGGAGGGAGGAGAGTAGGGAAGAGGGAGGAGGGAGGAGGGAGGAGGGAGGAAGGCTGCTCACAGTTGTGATTTGTCGGCTTCAGGGATCTCATTCTCTTGGTGACCTCCTGCTGGTCAAGTTCATCTCCTTTCCCTTCACACGCTCTTCGTTGACCTTTCTCTCCGTCGCTTCGCATCGCCGGCTGCTGCTGCCGCCTCGTCGTCTCTATCGCGTTGAGCAGGTCGTACCTTGTCGCCATTGTCAGGCAGGAAGGCAGGCACGGAGGCAGGAGAGAGAGGAGACGAGGAGACGAGGAGCAGCAGGAGCAGCAGCAGGAGCAGCAGCAGGAGCAGGAGGACCTCTCTGACACGAAGGAATCGAGCCACGTTGTTCTCTCGTCGCTATGCCTCCTCCTCTCGCTTTCCAGACTTGTTTGAAGGCTCTGAATGATGATGAGAGAGAAAGGAAGTAGAACAGGAGCAGGAGCAGGAGCAGGAGCAGGAGCAGGAGCAGGAGCAGGAGCAGGAGCAGGAGCAGGAGCAGGAGCAGGAGCAGGAGCAGGAGCAGGAGCAGGAGCAGGAGCAGGAGCAGGAGCAGGAGCAGGAGCAGGAGCAGGAGCAGGAGCAGGAGCAGGAGCAGGAGCAGGAGCAGGAGCAGGAGCAGGAGGGGAACCTTAATTTGGTGTTCGGAGGAGAGCTTGAGAGCAAGTCGCTCAGCCTCGGAGTCTCTCACCAGGTCTCTCAACTTCTCCTTCTCCTCCTTTAGCTTCTTCACCTGCCTCGACCCCTTCAGCTCCGGCAAGCTACCGCCACTCGCCTCCTCTCCCTCCCCTCCCAGCACTCACGTTGTTCTTAAGATCCTCGCACGTCATGGACAAGTCTTCGCATCTTTGAGTCAGTTTGTCTTCAGAGGTCTCAACTCGCGACATCTGATTCATCTGCTCCTATGTCAGGAACTCCTCCTCCTCCTCCTCCTCCTCCTCCTCCTCCTCCTCCTCCTCCTCCTCCTCCTCCTCCTCCCTCAATTACTCCCCTCTTCCTCTTTATTCTCCCCTCCCCTTCCATCCTGTCTTCGTCTCTTCGTCAGCCTCTCCTCCTCCTCACACCAGCTCGGCTATCTTCCTGTCCTTGATTTTCAGCTTCTCCTCCACTTCCAGCTTGTCCGCATATCTTTCAGTTTCCATCCTCGCCACTTGAGAGCTCAGCTGCCGAACTTTCTCCTGCGGCAGGGTCAACCCTTCCCGCCCCCTCCTCCTCATCCTCCTCCTCCTCCTCCTCAACCACCACCTCCAACTCCACCTCCACCTCCTCCACCTCCTCCTCCTCCTCCTCCCCCTCACAGCATCACCAGGTGTTGTTCCTTCATGGCGGAGTCGAAGTCCTCAGTCTGCATGCCGAGGGTTCTGAAGGACCTGAGACGAGACGCGCGTTAAGTTGAGAAGGCAACAAACAAGGACATCAACTTCTTGCGATCAAACTGTTGCAGTTCTTTCTCCAGCTCTATCTTCTTCTTCTCCAACGATCTTATCTCAGCTTGCTGTCGCTCAGCCATGATGAAATAAGGCTTCAGACTCATGATCGCCTCCTGCGGATCCTCGTCATGATAGAACTTCTTTCTTGTCGCTTGTCATCATCCTCCTCTTGTTGTCTCCCTCACCTTGCTCCAGGAATGAACTTCTTTCGCTCTAAAGTTGGCGAAGATGGCCGAGAAGAACTGAAAACATGTGAAACAACAGCAGCAAAAGTAACAAGAGAGAAATTGTCTCACGATATCTTTCAAGTGCGTAATGATACTGTCTGGATTCTCTTTTGTAAAGTCCAGAAACGTTTCGCAGGCATGAAGCAACTGAGTTGAGAGCAAACACGTCAATGTATGAAGGTCACACCATCAACACAATACAACAACATCCACATCCGAATGTCACAGTGATGGTTGATCTAGCATACTCCTCCTTCACTTCTTACAAGGCTCGTCAGGTTTCTTGTCACATGTTCGTTGTCCCCTTCTATCTTCACATGCGTTTCTCTACTCTTCAACTCCCAGTACAGCGAAGATGATTTGAACCTGATGATATCGCATCATCATCATCGTAGTAGTAGTAGTAGTCGTCGTCGTCATCATCATCCCCATCATCATCATCCCCATCATCATCATCATCATCATCATCATCATCATCATCATCATCATCATCATCATCATCATCATCATCATCATCATCATCATAATCATCATCATCATCATCATCCTAATGTTGATCCCCATCACCATAACCATCACCATCACCATGGGCATCATCCTGTTGCCGCCTTGCA